AAATAAACCCACAAATGAAAGGTCCTTCTACTTTTTCACTGAACAGGAAGAAACATCTATGGCGAGGGGTTTTAAGTGAGATGGCCCAAAAGGAGGTTTTTGGACTCAGAATGTTTTGAGTTTTTAGATTTTGGGGTTTAAAGGATTTTTTAGAAAAGAGAAGGGGAAAAAACCCCTTTTCTTGAGGGAGACCGGGTTAAAAAGCGGGTATAAAAAGGATTTAAAAAACCTTGAATAAAACCACAAAATTTGGGTTTTTACGCCCCCAAAAAACACCTTTTTTGAATTTAAAACTTTTAAAAAATTTTTAAAAAAGAGACACTTGAATGAATGGTACAACAAATTATATAAGGATTTCCTGCATCAGTAAAAGTGTTGTCTGAAAAAACCAGGTTGTATTTGGAATGCGGATGAAACTGGCTCATTATGGGTTGCAAACAAGAGTTAAAAGTTATAGGTCCATTCCCGTAAGGATATTCCTGGTGCCTCAAATAAGTTGCTTTGGAAAGCAACGTCTAACTGTGATGTACTGTGGCAATGCTTCAGGACCAAATGATGCCACCATTTTTTTTGGTTTTTCCTGAAGCCCACAAGCCTAGAGCATATGACCCATTTTTAAATGGAGCTCCAGAAGGAAGTTATATTGCCTATACGAAGAAAGGCCCTGGATGGACGGCACAACATTTTTCAAAGTTCATTGATCACTTCGATTAAGTTTGCTGGTTGTTTGAGCGACCCTGTTGTGTTACTATTAGACAGTGTTGGAAGTCACATTAGCCAAGAAGTGTTTGTGAAAGTTAAAGGAAAAAAGGACATGAGCTGTATCGCATTGTCCACAATGCGACACATTTGGGATTGCAACCCTTTTGGATAAAGGTGTAATTCGGTTCTTTTGAAAAAACAAAATTTGGCACTTGGTTGCTAGGAAATTTGCACGTGAAAAACCCTGAAGATGCACTTGGGAAAAGAGATATTTTTCCAGAAGTTAACAGAGGCTTTTTGAACTTTAACAAAACCTCTAACTGTTTATCAATGCCTTTCAAAGCTTCAGGAATTTTAAATCCAGTTGGATAGCTCAATTATTTGTAAATGAGCTAAGTGAATGTCTGAAACCCGGGGCTGACATTCTGCAATGATAAGTCGAAAAAAGTCTAGCTTACAGTCAAAAGGGGAAGTTAAAAGTAGAGGAATATCCTGAAAACAAGTCAAGCGCAAAGGGAGCACTTTAGAAGTAAATTTCAAAGAAACGTTATCCTACCCCTGTTCGTGAAAGATATCAATCACGGTTGTCTGAAAGGCCCATTACATTGAAGGCCAGTCCCCCCTGTTTTGACATTTATAAAAACGTGATACTTATCAGAAAGCAAATCCAGTTAGTACTGCTTTTTTTGTGTCATCTGATTAGAAATGATTAAAAAAAAATGGATTGGATTTATTAGCAGAATGTGCGGCATTTTCAGTCATACAATGATCCCCGAGATGCTGATAGTAATATGCAATCAACTGATGCAACAGACCAATTTCCAGTTCAGATCTCACCAGCACTAAGAGAGGCTTTAGTTTATTGTCTCCTAAGGCACCAGAAAGTTTTGAACCTGGTTTAGAAAACATTACTTAACAGCTTGCCAGAAAAATCCTTCTTCAAACCCGGGGGAGCATTTTGTTTCAAAAGTCCCTGAAAGCAAATTTTAAACCCGTGGTGAAATTTGCAGAAAAAAGGGAACCCCCAAACAAAACTGGCAAAACATGAAAAAAAGGGGGGAAAAAAAAAAATTATGTGGAGAATTTCCCCCAAAGAAAAGGGGAAAATCTAAGATTAAAGTAAAAAAGGGAAAGGGGGACCAAAGGGAAAAAAAAAATTTTAAAAAAAAAAAAGTTAAAAAAAGCAGAACTGAGAACAGACTTTTTTAAAGGGGGGTAAAGGGCCCCCCGGGAAAAAAAAATATTCATATGATTTTATAAAAATTTTGGGTTTCAGTTTTGATGGGTGTGGGTGGGGGGTTCAAAGCAGAATGGTTTTAAAAACCTGTTTATAAAAACGCCAAAAACTTTTTTGCCCAGAATTTTCAATAAATGTTTAAATTTAAAATTTTTTTTAAAAAAGTATGAAAATTTAAAAAATAATAGTTTTTAAAAATGGCTAGCCCAAAAAAAAAATAAAAAAATGCTTTAAAGCTGTGCTAGTAATTTAATTTTTTTTTTTTCTTTAAATTTTAAATCATTAAGATTTCTTTTTTATTAAAAAAATAAAAACTATTATTAAATTTAATTTTTTCCCTTTTTTAAAAGAAAAAATTTTTTTTTTTAGGGAAAAATTTAAAAACAAACCTTTTGGAACTTTTAAAAAAAAGTTTTCAAAAAGGGGATCAGCTTTTTTTTAAATTTTAAGGGCCAAAAACCCAAATACTACCCAACACGTCCCAAAATGTAAAAGCCTAATATTTCAAATATCCTGAAAACTGATGCCCGTTTGGGGTGGTTGCCCCCACTTGAGTCCCTTCCAAACCCTTGAAAATTTATTTTGTTTTTCACTGACCCCAAAAAGCCAGCTACGGTTTCGGGGAAAGTAGCAGGACTTTCCCAAATTTGGGCCAAAGTTCCAAAGAGGGGGTAGCTTTTTTTTTTTCGGGAAACCAAATTTTGGACAAAAAACCCTAAACGAAAACTGAAGTTACCGGGGAGCCCCCTAGAATTTCCCCCCTGGGGGGGCTCCCTGTTCTGAAGGTGGGGGGTTGTGTTGCCATGCAACCATATTATATTTCACCCAGAAAATTTGAGTAATTTTCAAAAAATTTCCCGGGGAAAGTTAGATAAAATCCCAAAAAGGCCCTGCTATGACACCCGGGAAACCCCAAAGGGAAAAAAATGTCTTAAATTTTTAAATCTGGGAAAAGCCAAAATTAAGCCTAACCAAAAGCATCAATTTTTTTTCAAAAACTTGTTATTTTAAAGGTAAACAATTTTTTTTTTCAAAAACTTTTGTTATTTTTAAAGTTGTTTTTTCACATTCCAAAAGTTTTCTTATTGGTCCCCCTTTTTTTGAAACCCTTTTTTGTTTCCTTTTTCTTAGGTTTAGTACAGTAAAGTTAATTAGTAAATTTTTTATTAATTTACTTCTTTTTTCAACCCAAGATTTAAATTCAAAGGTATTTTTTTCAGAAAGATTTAACATCTCATATAATAAAATCCAATTAAAATATTTAAAATCATTTTTGCAAATTTGACTGAATTAAATTTAAACTTTTATAAAACTTAAAAGTGCCTGTGATGACTGGAAAAAAATTTATATTTTTTTTTTAAACCCCAAAGTATTGTTTTTAAACTAGTCCCAAAATTTTTTTACATCATTACATGTAATTTTTTTTTGGGTTTTACCCTTGAACCAAGTTAAAAAAGTTTTAAAGATATTAAGTCAATATTTTTTCATAATTAAATGTTTTTGTTTTTTTTAAGGTTTTGAACGTTGAACCAAGGTCAGTATTGTTTAATGATCGAGTCAATTTTGTTTTACATAATTACATGGCGTTTTTCTTTAGGTTTTACTTTGAACCAAGTCAGTATTGTTAATGATCTCAGTCAATATTGTTTTAACATTATTTCACATGTGCTTTTTTTTTTAGGGTTTTACGTTGAACCAAGTCAGTATATGTTAAATGATGTAGTCAATATTGTTTTTACATCATTACATGTATTTTTGTTATAATTTTGTTTGTTTATATCACAGAGTGTACTCAATAAGATAAAATCAGGGTTTTTTGACAATTTTGTTTGTTATTCTTAGAAAAGTTTATACTCATAATGACCTCATAGAAGAACATGCAAATTCTATTTGAGACTGCATTTTAAGCTTTTGATTCACAACAAGAGACTTGTGTTACAGTTAATTTAATGGAATTTTACATTTAGGAATGTGCACAAAATTGCTTCGATTGAGCTGCTTTGTCCCCTGTAACCCTGAAAATGAAATAAATATGTTATTCTACACAATTTACAATTCATTGAGCAGATATCTAGATCAGCATAATTATAATCATTATTGTTTTTACCACAATCATGCAGCTGTCACTTGGATTTTTTACTTATTGGTACCCTTTTCACTTTAATACTCAGCGGTAACACATAGTTGTGTAATATTTCCTGGTTAAGGGAAGAATTTGACAGATAATTAATGTTTTGAGAAAAACCCCCCGTTCGTATATCACGTGACCCGCTAATGGCCGATTTGACCCGCTATTTTGGCATGTTTACAAAGGGTTTTGGAAACCGGTAAATACTCACACCCATGCATTCAAAAAAATTGAATTCACAAGAAGTATAAAAGTAAAGGGGGAAAAAAAAATACTTCCTTTTTCATTTATACATTTTTTATATGAATTTTTAAAAATTTGTTCGTTCCCTAAACACTTTAAAAATTTAGCTAGTTTAAACCCCTTATTGGCCAAATACTGGGAGGTTTTTTCCCTTTCCCAGCCCCAAAAACCCCGGGTTTATTCAAACATAAGCTTCTAAAATTTTTTTTGAATGACCCCGTTGATATCTTAAAATATTGCACATTTTTTTAAATTTTATACTAATGTAATATGAGTTGCATTTTTACTCAAATAAACCTTTAAAAAAAAATTTGCAAATTGTATTGGGCCTTTTTTTAGCGAATTTTGCAAAAAACATAAAAACATTTCATGGGATATTAAATTTTTTTCAAAATAATTTGTAAAAATAAGGAATTTGAGGGTTTGCTTGAATAATGTAGTGAGGGCGCCGGTTTTGAGCATACCGCCTCCCCTTAAACCCCGCCCGGGGGCTATTTTATAAACCTATTTCTATTTTATAGTCAAATTGGAGGTTTCTTGTTTTTAAGCGTCACATGACGCGTACATTGCAGTGCATTCGAAAAGTTCACACTAAGAAAGAACAATAAATTACTTTGAAACACTTACATTTTATTTCTACAATTTGTAAAAATATGCTGAAAATTGGTTTTGGATGGATTAACACTATTTTGAAACACATCGTTAAAGGACTGATCGACAGACATTTTTCCCAATAAAGTAATAATGATAAAAGGAAATTAAAGTTAGAAAAGGTAAAACCTATTTTATCATCTTTCTCATGGGAATTGCTAGATGTATTAAAAAATTTTTTTTTTTTTTAAATGTATGTTTGTAACTTTGCTAAATTTATCAAATTATTATACACTATAAAACGTGTTCGTTGAAGTATCTGTAGCTACCTTATCTTTAGTCAGTTTATTATATATTTTTTCAGATTTGTTTACTGTTACAAGTTGTAAACTGGTGTTAAACATTTTGGTATTGATAAATTATCATATGTAAGTATTATTTTACTATAATTAAATATGTTTGCTATTGTTTTCCACTAAACTATACTATGAACTTATATATAAATCAATGTCTTTTCTATTTTATCTTACACGTAATTTATCTGGCTATTTTTAGAAATGTTTCTTTAGATACTGTATCGTGTGTATATTTAGCTGTAAAATTCCCATAGTTGTTTCTATATATAATGAAAACGGTTTTCCGGTTTCTAATGGACAATTATTTTCGCTCCAGTAGGGAAAGGTTGCATCAGTATAACATAGCAAGCGTCAGTTACTTAGGATGTAATTTTAATGAGAAAGGTAAAAAACTATTCTTATATTACGCCTTGTGTGTAACCCTGTTAATCTCAATATATTATAACTGGCTTTTTATGTCACCATTAAACGTATACAATACTTAAGTTATAAAACCGGACACATATTGAAAAGAGGTTAACATTATAGTTTATTAGTAAAAAATTTATATGGAGATTGCTCAAAATGTAAAATTACTTGAATCCGATTGCGAATCGAGAAGTTAAGTCTAAAATAAATGTAAAATTAATTCAATTAAAACATATTGCTTTATTACTGATTACTTTATTCTTTGGAAAGTAAGGTTTTTAATCGTGTAAAAATCAAACCTTTAGCTCCCCCAGGGTCAACAATTCAAATTTCCATTTAATGCAATGAAACATTATTTTTAATAATGGGTAAAAAAAAAAGACAATTATTCAGTTGATAAATAATGATGCTAATATAATAGAAATGTCAGAATATTTATCATATTTATGCTAAAGTATCTTTTAATTTCATTTTTAATGAGGAAAAGTAAAATCAGCGTTCTTGTCTTGTATTAAAAGAAATTGCTTGACATAATTTGTGTTCATTTGTTGTTTCATCAATGTATTGTCATCGTATGAAACAATGAAATAAGAAACTAAAAGGTACCCTCATTTGTATTTTACCAACCAAATTTGAAACACTATTCAATCTTTGTGTTGTTATAAAAATATTTAAATAAACACACACAAAAAACGTGTAGCAATAATAAACTATTTTGAACTATAAGCATTGATTTTCACTGATACTTTTGCGTAAGACTATTCTTTTATTATATTAAATTATTTTTGCACATCATTTAATCAATATTTATCAATTTTTGTATAACGTTTCCTACTACTGAACTAAAATGATCAATACACAAAAATGTACTGCTTTTTTCAATAAAAAAAAAGAAACAAATAATGCTGTTTGTATATATTAATAATGGATTGTGCATTAACAGATGGCAGACAAATACTATAGACTGGTTTGCTTTGTGGTAGATATTTGCGCCGACGTATTAAGGAAATATTTTATCAAACTTGCAAGAACTGAGGCTGGGAGCACTTATACATCAATTGATGCATACCTATCTCAAAGAAATCGGGATGTGATGCAATTATTCAATAACAAAAAGCTCAGGAGAGATCAGTATGATTTATTGTATCCTGGTAACAGCACCGCTGATGAAAACCAATGGGACGTATCAATACTGGTAACATTGATAACAGAACTTTTTGCCACTCGTCTGCAGCCAGTCGAAATATTCGCGTTGAAAACTGAAATTCGAGGGATTCGAAATGAGTTGCAACATAACCCAAATACTGGCAATATTTCAGATGATGACTTCGATGATTATTGGGGGCGATTGGACTCTTCTGTTAGGCTTATAGCAACGAATGCGCTTGATACGAATGATCAAGCATCCTTACTAGAGAAAATAAATCAGGTAAAATGTAATCATCTACCAAATCTCAGTGATTGTCAACGGTTATGGCATGAAGAAACAATTAAGCAGATGTTTAACATTTTGGATGAAGTGCAGGCAAATACATCCATTCTCAGACAAGTGACAGTCCAAAAACCAGGACCTTCAGGTAAGTTTCAGTAATTTTACATCAACTTAAGGTTTATATTGCGTTTTTTTATTGTTATTCGCCTCATAGTATTAATTCTTAATAATCGCAATCAACACTAATATTTTATATGATAAGCTAAGCAAAATTATCAGAATATTTCGAAGAGATTTGTATCTATGGGTTAAGAAACTTTAGACGCAATTTTCAAAATGAAATATATTTGAAATGATTGGTTAATTATATATGACATCGTTCAAAAACTTTATAATTAATTGTTGCTTCGATAGTTGAATTGTTTATTGGATGTGAAATTTATTGTACTTCAGGGGACAAAAATAAAAGAATAAAAGTTGCTGATGATATTCTGGCACGGCTTCAAGGTAGGTTGGTAATTAAAAAAATAACATTCGAAAAGTGTCGTCTACATTCATTTCTAACTTAGACAATTTTTTTCCATTTTAATCTTATAATCTTATGATCTAATCTATCACAACAGACATATCAATTACATTATCTCTATGATCTAATAAAAGTAAATTTATAAGTAAGTAAGTTTTTGTTTTCATGAGGGAAATTTGTGCTTATAACTATTTACTGTTTGTAAGCGGGGTTTGAGTCAACGATGAAAGAACTATCAGGCGATTTTAACCCACCAAGTGAAGTGACAGACATTCGAGCTAAACTAAGAGATGGCCATCACGTGGTTGTAACCGGATGCAACAATAGCCGTTATTTTGAGACCGCTCTTGCAGCAATAAAGGGGATGGATTATAATTACAAACGATGTGTAGAAATGCACACATCGTCTGATTGGCGTCACATTGATCCAGAAGATGTAGACTTGGTTTTATGTAGAGATCCATTTGGAAGAATTTCCTATGATGAAAGCAAAGCTAAAGCCATGGATGATATATTTAAAAGCATGATGCACTCAACAAAGAGAGATAGTAGCGATAAAGCCTTGGACATTGTCATAGTAACAGACCTGAAGATATTCGAAGAGTGCAAAATGCATCATGACCATGAACTCTTAGACGAAGTGGTGAAGGTGTTTACTGATACGAGTTCAACACAACCGGCTGATCTTACAATAGGTATTTTATTAATCGTTAACTTTGCGATAAACTCTTATCATGTTAAAAGAATTATAAATCAGTCTAGGTTAATGTTAATGTAGATAATGTATTGAATGAAATAATCTCTTAATTTAGAATGATTACGTTAATTTCTCTCTCCACACTCAATTTATTTAGTTCATGTTGTCCTTTGGTTATGGGCTATTGAACTGGTTCTACTGTATTGTAGTGTATTTTGAGGCTGACTATTTTCGAAGAAAAAAAATAGCCGTATAGTTACAGTCATGGCGGTGCTGCCCATTCCTCGATCATTACTATGTTCAGTTCTGGGTATAATGATACCTGGCCACAAAAACCCCTGGGGCAATACCACCTACAAGTTGACCAAACTAAATTTGACCTTCATTCATCAATAACACTGACCATCAAGTTCAAATGTCTAAATGTGTCGCGATTTTTGCTGAATTTTGGAATTTGCGGCTACAACTTTGTTATTTTTGAATTGATAGTCTTCGAACTTGAACACAACAATCTTTTAGAATTGACCTCCAAGTTTTCATATATTGTATATCATAATTTATTTTTTAATGTACGGACTCTTTGACCAAAAGGACATGTTGAATAATGACCTTTAAATAACATTGACGGTCAAAAGATAAAAAAGGAAAAGTTAAATTTATTTTTAAAAATTTGTTTACACCGTTTATTTGTTTGCTTTTAGAAAAATATAAAAGTCGGTGGTGTTTCTTGTTTTATTTAATTACAGGTGTTATTCTGTTTAGAATTTATTCATTTAACATCATTTGTTTATTCATAAACCCCGTTTATAGCAATACCACTGTATGTTTGATTTAATGATGAGCGAAATAGCTAAAAATGAATAGGAATAGCATATTTGTTACAGGATGTAGACGTCAAGGACAATACGCGGAATCGTCTTCGCTGCCAGTAACAAGAAATAATTTGGGAGGTAACTTTACTTGTTTCTTTGTCATGTATATTTGTAATTAAGTAATAATGTCATACTTGTTTGTTTTTGGGGTCTTTTTCAAATCATTTAACTTTCTTTATTTTAAAGCTATGACGAAACATTTCCTGATGGTTTATAAGATATCCAGTCGTCAAGTAGATGATCAGATACTTAAAAATGCAAAGAAAAGTTTCAAAGCAAATAAGGCTATAGTACTAACAGGGCATGAGAAATGTGGTAAAACTTCAATAGCAGTTGCATTGGCGTCTGCCTATGAGGAACAGCAATGTTTACTTCTCAAGAAACCAAACGATGTCAATTACATTGACTTCCCAAACACCTGCTTGGTTATCATTGACGAGTTTGCTGGGAAATATCGTTATGAGGAAAATGAAGTGTACAAATGGTACAACATGTTTGACTACCTGTACAATGCTGTTATAGCAGAACCGATAAATGTTATAATAACGTGTGAAAAAAGTAAATTAGACAAATGTATCAACGAAGTAAGACGGCATGCCATTTTAGAGCACGTAGTGGATGTGTCTTTACAAAAAGCTGTCGTTAAATCAGAAGTGCCTGAAGGTAAGCTGAGTCTATTGCGAAGTGTTATATATCAAACCATTATTATATTTCATAAAATACGTATTTAAACATATGAATTCCACTATCATAATAAATGATTATGTGACTTAATGACCGGTTATATCATTTCAGATCGGAAAAAATATAGATTAAAATAGTTGGCTGTAATGTCGATTTTAGCGGAGATAATAATTGTTTGCAATGCACGCCGTTAAACATGTATGTATTTTAAAAAAGTGTCAGTTTTTTTGGTAAGTTTGTCAGACATTTATTTTTTCTTAAACCTTTTACCGCTTGAGAATGATGTGAAAAATGTCCGATTTCATTGAAAAGCCTCCTATTACAAGTTCAAACTGCTATGAAACTTTGAAAAATGTTTCCATACGCATGAAACTTGCATTTTTAGTCTGTTACATGTCACAAAATTTTCTTGATGATGAGGGGATTACTGTTCCCTTCAAACCCCAAACAAAAGTGGGTACATCCCCCCTCTTATACCTTTTAATAGGGGGCGGCGCCGAAAAAGTGATTTACATTTTTTACAACATTTCACAAAAGAAAAATAGTGTCTTGGGCCTTAATAGGGCATTTATTCACTATTTTATGCCTCAAAAATCGACAAAACACGTTTATATGAGGAAAAAGGTTAAACAATCTTCTCTTGGATATACAATGAAGTTGAATTCAACACAATCTTTAAGATGGCATTTATTTTTCTTTTTCTGACTAGAATATGGACATATATCTGGAAAGATAGTCACCACAGATCATTCTATAGGCACAATATCAAATACCACACAGACTCTGAATTACACAGCATCGTTGTTAGGGGACCCGTCTCAAGGGCCAATCCCGCTGTCCAGACATGACACGATTCCTGTTTCTACAAGAAATACTTCAATTTTTGGTAGGGCAGAAATGGAAGGTTTGTCATTCATTGTATGAGATGCATGCCATTATATTTTGACAAGTGTCATGTTTCTAGTAATTTTATACTTTTAATCCCCTTCGCAAAGTGGGAGGGAAATATAGGAATGTATTCCGTCCGTCTCCCCGTCCGTAACACTTTCCTTTCGTGACCGCACAATAACTTTTAAACCGCTGAAGATGTTTTGAATTTTTTTTAGCACAATTGCTCATTATTATGAAACGATGTGCATAACCAGCAGTCTGCTTTTTCTCACCTGAATGATTGTTAAAACATGAAACCTTAAACAAATAATACATTAGAGTCACAATCAAAGTATTATAAGTTGAAGCAGGACTGATCACAAAAGCCTTTGGAACAGCAATTTTGCCTAAAGCATGATACAACCAAATATGTAAGAAACTTGTTCTAAAATTACACATGGTTACCAAGACTTTGACAAAATTATTCAAATAAAATAAGAGAATTTACTAAGGTATCTTTCTGAATATTGAAGTTGGTCAATAACTGAAACTGACTTTTGTGATGAGAAAATGTGCTTATAATATGCATGGCATGGTTTGTTAAAGTTCAAGTAGTACACATTTAACTGTGTTTCAGACTGCCTTTGTTTTAACAATCTTCTCTGCAATAAACAATTACATACAATGTCAAAACAATGACTTACGATGTCATATATTTCTCTTCTTCTTTTAAACTAAGGACTAGAATATGGACATGTGTCGTTCGTCAATATAGATCATTCTATTGGCACCATATCAAATACAACACAGTCTAAGAACTACCCACTACCATTGCCAGAGGTACCGTCACAATGGCCAATCCTGCTGTCGAGTCCTGAGAGGATTCCACTTTCTACAGGAAATACTTCATATTTTGGAAGAACACAACTGGAAGGTTTGGCTTACATTAATTGTCATTAATATAAATATAATTCCTATCCTAGTGCTTATTATGATTAGCTACTATTATTCCTCGCGCACGACAGCGGAGTATAGATTTTGCGTTGTCATTCGGGTTGTTTATCTTTCCATCTGGCAGTCTGTTCCTCTAGCAGTCTCTCAACACTACAGCTACTTAAAAACCTTATCTACATATCTCCATAAATAGTAATATTTTATTGACGAGAAGTGCAGTGTAAAGCAGCTGTTTCGTTTCATTTCATAGTAACTAAAGTATTACCTTTTAATTCTTTTAAACCATAACTTTAACTCTTTATGTGTTTAGTTATTAACTTTAAATATAATACGTTCATATGAGTCATTATGGAATGATGTATAATCAAGAACTGTACGTAGCTCTTCATCCCATAACGTTTGCGTCATTGTCCGTGGTGTCCTAAATCTTGTTGTCTTTCAAATCATTTCCGTTATCAATAAGAACAGCAAAGTGTACAGATAACATTGTAATATACAGATTGTGAGATTATTTTTCATCTGGCTGTTTAAGTACTTCTGAGTTATGTAATCAAATATAATCAAACTCTGATTCTGCATTCTTAGCTTTGGCCCTTTGTAGATTACCGAAAAGAAATACTTATGTGCAAGATTTTAACATACCCTGGAATACGTTTGTATGTCTTTAAGGAAAAGTTTCAAATCAAAATTCATCGAAGAACGCACTAACCTTTATAAATTAGATCTACTGCAATTAAGCACTTAGAGATAGCCCTATACTAGATACATATTGACTTGCTTAGTTATAGTGATTCATTTGTTGTTATTGTTTTTTATCGATGCTTAGTTATAGTGATTCATTTGTTGTTATTGTTTTTTATCGATGCTTAGTTATAGTGATTCATTTGTTGTTATTGTTTTTTATCCAAATTGACATAAATACATATCCACATAGTTAATAGTTTTATTTTTTTCATCTTTGTCTACTTTGATAATTTGAGCTCAATTTCAGCTGAATCTTTAAATTGATACTCTTATGTATAGTAATATTAGTAATATACTTATAATAAATGACCAAAATAACATGACAATACGTCGTACAAATATTTTATTGTCATAGTAGCTCAAAAGGTTGACCTATTATTACAGCACAATTATGTTAGCCTTAAACATGTATCATAATTATATTCGAAAGCGCATAACATACACACGTTTCAATCAAGCGCTTTTTTATCAAACGACCGAAGATATCAATTCAACAAATTCACTTGTTGATTCAAACCATTACTTTTATAAAGGAAGGCATTGGATCGCCCTTATCTAATATCAATAAACAATATATGAACATTTCATTTCAGGAATACAAAATCCGATGCAGCTGAAAAGAGGATTTCCTGGAATGGAAAGGTAAAAAACAATCTAAGACAATACCTTTTAGCTGTTTGATACAAAAGTACATATCTCCACATATTATATATATATTATACATGAACAGGTCGTGGTCGGTGTTGTCACCGTGGTCGTGGTCTTTAAACATGCACAGCATAAAGAAATAATGATTACAATGTCATGTCAAATGACGTCAATTTTGACGAATTAACAAAATGATGCCGGGAAAATACTACGTTCAATTTACTCAGAATATATTCTCTTTTATAATGGCATGTTAGATTGTAAATTGATAAGTATATGTTAGTGTTTATCCGTGCTGTTCTACAGAAATAAGAAACTTCGACGGGAGCGATAGCGACAGGAGAATGTTTCTAATTTCTGTAGAACAGCTACGGATAAATACTAACATACTCAGTGGCGTAGCTTCCTATAGGCACTGTAGGCACGTGCCTACACTTTTTCCTCAGAAATGAAAAATTAAATGATTACAAAAATGCAATAATAATTAAGGGTAATGCGGTAGATGTGTAGGTCCTAATTTTAGAAAATGACCTGTCATCTCATTTGAAAATGTGTCCGTAATCTAGTTTTATTTCATAACGAAAGTGCTGCCGTTTTATAAAGTTGTTCTGTGGTAAAACCTTTAAGAGACGGATGAAGTATGCACGATCAGAATTGGCCATATCCAGATATCGGTAGTGCTAGTTTTATACAAATGATTAGGAAGCGAAGCGATGTCTTGAATGAAGCCTTGACATCTTGTCTTTCATATTCTCTTCCCTTCTTAAGGTTTAATGAGTTCGTGATTCAATTATTTGTACTTTAATCAAACTGCATTTCCGTCCAATCTTAAGTACAAAACACAAAGTAGAATTGAAACCAAGCAAATAAATGAAATCGATTTGAAGGATACTTGAAACATAATCTGTGTTATTACATATTCTTTTTAAAATGTATTTTAATTATATATACAAGTAATGTGTTCGTATACAAATCAAAATCTGCACTCATTAATAGCGAAGTGATGAAGCGTTTGCTTTTCGAGCTAGCAATGCAATTCTTTTTTTATCTTAAAACTATACTTAGTTAAAACTTTTTTCATTCAATAAATTGCACATAAAGAAACATTTACAAACATTTCACACTAATGATTGGAAAACAAGTAAAACAAAACTAAATAAATCTTTTTCCAGCAAAAGTAATTTTCAAAATATAGATACAAAGATGTTGCGGATAGATGTAAACTCTTTTAATGTACAACGAAAAATAATAGAATAATTGATTGTTGAATTATCATTATAGAGAGACTAAGGTAACTTATGGAGATATCTTAGAAGAAAGGAAGAAAATATAAGAAAAACATATATATATAATCTTTTATTCCACTTTTCAGTGACTGATATAACAATTAATTAACATGTAAAATGAATATGAGCGTAGTTCATTCATACTGATAGTAAATCTTACAGTCTATTCTATGTTCTATATATGTTTCACCATAAACAATAAAAAGAGCTTTCATTCATGAATTATGGGAGCATAAAACCTTATTGAGAAAATGTATTCGATGCTGTTTGTGTGACATTAGATATTTCATCATCATTTGTATATATTTAAATACCGATTGTCCGGTGTCGCAAGTTGTTATTAAGGATGCGTTTATTGTTCATGGGACTCTTTCTTGTTGATCGTTGTTTTTATTATTTTCTAATCATATATATTTAGACAACCTTATTTTGAATTTTTACATTTTGACGTTTTCTTTAAAAATTGCATAAATTTGATATTTTTAATGTATAGAATCATAAATTATGAATTATAAATATCTTTCATATATCGTTCATATATCTTTACCCCAAAGTTACAGCTCTTTTTGCCAAAATGTCACAAGCTTTGCGTTGAGTAAGTGTTATAAGTATGGTCATCTTCATATTGATGGAAAAAATGCAACCAAACTGCAGCAAAATTATGAATTCTCTTCCTTCAGAACATGCCTTAACATACCCCAGATTGCAGCTATGGCAATGTAGATTTTCAAAAATTTTCGGGGGAGCATGCCCCCCGACCCCCCTAACACTAGTGCCTACACATTGGTTTCTTTCAAGCTACGCCCCTGATACTTAGTGTCAAGCTTTATTTGGCCTCATTATTATTCACTTAATTACGTCACTACGCGGTTCTATGAAGTACTATGAAAAATAGTAGCTAGGCGACTATGAACGGAATTCGATATAGTATCGACTTTTGTTCTTCTGTGAAAATTAACGCACATAATTTTTAAGAAATACAGCGTTTTCATTGGATGACAAATAAAGTTGGACACTAACAATGCATGGTGTATTGTTCAAATGCTTTGTAATTAATCACCCAGGCCTCCAGGTGTCTACGTTATTATATTCCGATGCATTTGAACTCGAACCGCGCATTATTCTACAACAATGCACTCGGATCTATTTCCTAAGTGAAAAAGGGGCCTGAAATTTAAAGCCTCCTGACATCAAATATAAATTAGCTGAAAATTTATGGAAGTTAATATGATATTGTGAATATTCCGGTTGTTCCAATTGAACATTCAAACAGGTGACTTTGACTAGAGCTACATGAGCACTATGCAGTTACACATGAATTTAACTGATTTAAACTTATTTTAGACTAAGATTGAATTAAACGATTTATCTTATTTATTTATTTTTATCCTTTCTACTTTTTCTGATAAAGCCGTCAGTTTTAATTATTATAATGTATTAATTAATTATTACTCAGTGCAGTTGTATCTATAAATTATTAAATATTTGCTCTTGATATCACTATCATCTTTTATAAATCTACAATAGTTAATAAAAAACATTTCTTTCATGTTTAAATTAAAGAAAATAGCCGGTCAATATGTGAATATTTAATCTTTCACATTTGATCACATTTTTTTCAATTAACAGAAAAAGTTATATCGTTTCTATGATCATATTCTAGAGTTCTATTTCAGGGTAATACAGACTGAGACAGCTGATTTGAGTGTAAAGAGATCGAGGTCAATGTCGTCTGGTTTATGGTCAGTCAAAGAGAAACGTGAAATTAACATCAGGACCTATGCTGATAGTCAGGATTGTAACATTAAAGGGAGTTGTATACTACCTTTGGGAGAAATTCTGCTTGCAGATTACAATAATAATAACTTGAAGAAACTTGATGATATGTATAATGTAAAGTGTGTGTGTGATCTTCCTGGTATGCCGTATGATGTTTGTTATGTCGGGGATAATGTAGCTGTTGTATCACAGTTTGCGGGGAAACTTCACTTTGTTGATACTAAACATAGTATGACACTGGATAGATCCATTGATACAGACCATACTTGTCATGGTCTGGCTTGTCATGGTGATCAGATATATGTTAGAGACTGTTATGGTTCTGTTTATAGATATAGTACAGACGGTATAAAGCAGCAGATGATTTATTCATCTAGAAATTTGTATAACATTTTTAACAATACAAGTATTTCTGTGAGTATTGATGGGAGTAAGTTATACCTTCCATGTGAAAATGAGCTTGTTACCATTGACAACAATGGAAACCATTGGTTTATATTAAACAATCTAGACATAGTTTCAAGTGGTGGAGTTTGTGTGGATGATCAAGGTTTTGTTTATGTAACTGATAGTAATGGAAATTTTTTACAAATAAGTGAAGATGGTAGAACTATACTTCAAGTCATAACAAACATATCTGGCTGGAAATGTGCACTTCTTCGTACATTAACATTTGATAGGAGAAATAAAGCTCTGATAGCAGCTGGGTATTCAGACACAATTCAACTTCAACGGGGTTTAACTAGTGTCGTTTAACTGAGGTAATAATGTGAAACTCAAACAAAATGAATAAATAGGATACCGTGATCATATAATTGCAAAATGAATAAAGTTAAGATTTCTAAATATATTATACACTTTATTTTTACCGGCATAATGTATAGTTAGAATTATTCCTCACTAGATGGTGAAGCAAATTTGTTTTTTTTCTTCAATGTATAGATAATGCAAGATATATAAGTATTTATAAACTTTGATAAATTGAAGTACAACATGATAATTCTATTATTTAATAAGTCATTTCCTATTTTTCTTATCTGGAAAGGAGTCAATTAGTCGATACACATATCTACAACACCGTATTTTATTCAGTCACTGTTAAGAGTTGTTTCATGTGTGATCTACCAATTGATATTTCAATAATAATAAATTATTTATAGAACAAAAGTGGTCTCAACAATTATATCAAGAAACTAGATCTGTAATATGGACCAATGTAACAATAACGTTTTTCCGTACCATGTGTATGTGTCCTTGAAGAGAATAATTACACATTTTTTCTTTTAATTTGGGACCACAAGTATACTTCTTTATTATGTTAGGAACTTCTCAAATAATAAAAGCATTGACTGAAATAGTATTAATTAGTTGTTGTTGTTATTGTTTAGTCCAACATCTTTATATAGCGACACTTATATAAATCTACTGAGTCCTGAGAATATACTCCTCTACCAATTTTGTGATTGTTTGGTCTCCCGTGTGGACCATTAATTGATTCTCATTGAACCTGACCACTATTACAGTTGAAACTGTATCTAATGGATTAAATTACATTTTTAAAACCTTTTAAGTACTGCTTTAAAACCATTTATATATTTATGTTTAATCTGTCATGTTTACAATTAAGATTGAACACATTACTTACTAACTATTATATTATCCATATGTTTATTATTCCGGCGAAGTAAATTTATTGGTGGGTAACTAACGTTATTTATAGATTCACGCATGCAATGTTTTTATAGATAACTCTAGAGGACATGCGATACAAGATTATACAAGTTGTGTCCCTTGCATCACCAAGTACAAAGATTAGCAATATCTCATTTTACTTTGCGTTGAGCACAAATTTTTATCCATAGAATTAAAGAATATGATAAACAAGATCATCAAGGAAAGGCGGCGTTCAATGAACGCAACCCCCTTATGACCCAGCATCAAGAACCAGTGGCAAGGAGCCCAGGCGGACCCCAAACAAAAACAGGAGAAGGCAGAGCAAGACAGAGCACGGACAGGTTAATCACTAAATGATAAATAATTTGTTACTGGTACGGAATTTAAAGAAAATAAATAAATGATTGAATAATAGGCCCGCAAAGGGCACAGGAGACCGGGGGAAGGGGGGTTAATCAAAGAAATAAAAACTAGGGGTTAAGGGGGCAGATACTTACCGTAGACGAGAAAACAACAAAGGACACAAGCAAAAGTGTCAGCAAAACAGCATTAAACAATATAGACATACATCTGAGGAACACAGAGGGGCGCCGCCTTGGAACGGTCAGCAGCATAAAAATGACTGATGGGGAGTTTAAACCGGTTAATAGTGCACCAAACCTCGCTCTTAGCCCCACCATGTTCCTATAAACGAGACAGTGTAAATAAAATGAATCCCCGTCAAGTGAAATTTTAACAGTTTCTAAGTCTGGGACATTTAGCCTGGTTTTCATTTTCCGAGCTCAAAATAATCCGGATGAAATTTTCAGTTTATTTTTCACGAAGTTAAGATACTTTTGATATACATGTACATGTATTTACAACAAATACGGTGCGTTCAGAGTTTTCCTAATGGTACCAATTATGAAATACCATACCATATGTATGTTTACTTATCATAGTCATGCCATGGTACCGATGTTTACGGACAAAATTTGTCATTGTTATATAAATTTGCAGTCCAGGGTAAATCCATTGTCAACAAAAAATTTGCCACAGAAAGACGGAGTAAATATATTGTTATCCATTTGTAGATTGACTTACCATCGGCATATCGATGGTACTGTTGTGCAGCCGAAAAATGATAAAATACAGTGATATAAAAGACAGTGATATGGTAGTGTCTTACTATGACGTCATTGAAAATCACGATCCTGATCTGATTTTCATGTTTAATATGAAACATAATTGATCATATTGGGCTGCAATAATATTCTAAAGTTTGTAATAGTGAAATATTATTTGCAAAATAAACAAATTCATTTAGAATAGAATTTATTAATAACAAAAAAAATACATTCACAACTGAACCAAACTAAGGACCAAATGAATGATTAAGATAAGACGTCTTGGGTGCCATTGGTATTTTCACCTTTGGTACCAATATATTTTATAAACAAAAAGTATAACAACAATCTGATAAAAAAGAGTGATCTCTCAGAAGCAGTGAAACAACAATATTATATAAAAGTTTTCGACTCGAGACTGTATATATATGTATACTTGAAAGTCATGGGATTTCCATATCAAAATACAAAAAAAATGAGCTGCCAACAGTATAGAGCCTGACCAGACAGCAAGGACGTGCAGGCTGGCCTGGTTCTATACTGGTGGCAAAGCCTGATCACTTATGGTACCAGTACATTATAGGTTTACTTTATTTTAATGTGTTACTTATGAAATAGAAAGATTTAATCTCAGGGAAGCGGGAAATTGCGTGCTTCTTGAAGAGGAAAATAGTTTGTTTTTCTTGTATCAATTGATAACATCATTTGTAAATTATTCGTTATACATTATTTATTACTGATGTTTATAAATCAGATAATCAATGATATAGTTTTGTTAGCATGTATTGAATAATAATTTCCATTAATCTATTAAAAATGTACTTTATTTTAAAGCTCCCGTTCTAAATATTTAGGTTCATACGCCTCGAATGTGTACATGTAACATTACATTGTATATTATATAAAACCATGGCAAAATATTATAAACAAGTACATATACCCACGTGGACATGGAGTGATCATTTTATGGCAGTTAATGATATTGTGAATTTTAAATAATATAAATCAAGACAAAAAAGACCTGACCTTCATATATCTGCTTCTATATAACATGAAAATCGATGTCATAAGTGTGTACAGCAGCGGCAACAACAGACATTTGAGCCGCGTCACGACAAAATCAACATAATGGTACAAGCTTACAAGCCCTATAACAAGTAGAGAAACTGATAGCGAATAGCATGGATCCTGATCAGACTGCGCGGATGCGCAGGCTGGTCTGGATCCATGCTGGTCGCAAACCCACTATGTTGGTTTTGTCGTGACGCGGCTCATTTATAATTAGAAGGAATTTTTCAGAAGGTTAAAGTCATCAAAGATCCTGCATGTTTTAATTAAGGTTGTTACCTCAATTAAGTGAAATTTTATATATGCATATAATTATGCTTCTAAAACAATTTTCAAACATCGAAAAATATGTTAAAGTACTGTAAATATTTGCCCACATTATATGTAATCATTAATATATGCATTCATTTCTTCTTAGACTTAACAGAAAATAAATATCTAACTACCTCCTTTTATTAACATGTAATGCAAATTTGGTAATATCTTTACAAATTATGCATTTTGGAACTTACAATATTGATAAATTTTCATTCTGAGCATTGTATTTATGATATAAAACCTTAAAATAAATGAGTTACAGGATCTTTAATTTTTACAGAAAAAAACGGAGTATTCGTCCGGATAACGTAATCTGTCATTTATTCATATCATGAGCTGAATTTTAACCTCAGGCTCAGTAGTATTCGTGTTGTGTTTACTCATTTAATTAAAAAAAAAAACAACAACAAACAAACAGTTACAATGGAATCTCTACGTGAATTTGTCAAGGATAACGGACTATATTTAGCAACAGGTGCTGTTGTCATCGGATCGTCATTATTTGTTATTATATAAACGAATGAAACGTTCTCGAACAAGGTCAGTTCTACAACTTAAATTATTGTATTGATCCAGATATCGGACATATAGAAAGGTATCGTAATAACGTCTAATAATTAATTATAAGTTTAAGTTAATGTGACGTCACCTTTAAAACATATTAATATTTTTGATTTCATCAGCTAGGATATTCATCATATCGTGTTATTTATTGATAAATCTCCCCCTACTGTATGCCTACACGGAACAAAAACAGAATAATATCCAAGAAAAAAAAGCTTCATATGCCACATTTGACTTTAAACATTTAAAATATGACGTTGCTGTGTGAAATTATTACTCTTTAACAAAGAAACACATTGATATAGGAAGCACTATTATGCAGGGAAGTGAGATCATTATCTCGTAAACAACATATACTCAACATCACTAATTCCGCGTCATCACTTATTTCATGGTAATGGCATATTTTCAGATGACCAGTGTTAGAATTGGTCAGAATTGACATATTTTATTCATACACCTAAACAACAAAGCTTTTGTGTAACATATTTTAAATCTCTAGATTTATACGTTAACCGGAACAACGTTTTACAAATGTCTGCAAATAGCAAAAAGAGTCCGTTAAATTTGTGCATACGTCTGAAACATTCACCATTTTCTAGTTGTTTTTGTTTGTTGAAAAAAAAGTTTTGAGTTAAAAAGTAAAAATGCTTTCAATGTTTAAAATAGAGCAACATATATTCAGAAATTTTAACTGAAACATGAAAAAACTATTGTGTAACACCATTTACCGCAATTTAAATGATGAAATATTATTTTCAAAATGGCCGTCTAGCTAGACCATTAAAACTAATTTTGACTGAATATATTGTTGTTTCCTTGTGTTATACAGCATAAAATCCCTATATGTTACTACATATGACAATTTTTAAACTTAATCTGCTGTTTTCTTTCTTGCTTCTTTGCGTTAAGTACCGTGAACTAAGAGCAGCACAGTTTAACACAAATTTACAAATTTGTTCCAATTAAACATGCATGTATATAGCAGGCAAGTAAGACATTTAGACTCCTTGACTTTTCGACCCCTTTACGATATTAAGATGACTTCTAGACCCCTCGACACTTAGACCCCTTTTTACTTGACTTTTCGACCCCTAGTGGGTAAGACATTTCGACCCCTATCACAAAATTGCTGTATATCACAAACTCTTCGAGTAATAATTCAAAGCAAATAGTTTAATTATTTCATAAAAGTTTCTGATAAAAATCTGAAAACTTCAGGTAAAGCAATAATTTAACATTGTTTTTTTTTATTCGTTTAATGTTATGTTACATAGAATTGTTTGATGGCTACATAGCAGTGATACGTACTATATATTTTTTTGTTATTATAAAAAGCTAAGATAAGGATTTTGTAAAATTATTAATACTTATTTTTGGCAATAATGTATTAATTTTCGGAAGTTTTGCGTTACTTTTCTTAATTATCCCCCGCCGATGGAATCGGGAGGGCGATATAGTTTTGGCGTTGTCCGTCCGTCCTTCCGTCCGTCCATCCGTCCGTCCGAATTTCGTTTCCGGAGTAGTTCTCTTCAACTAATGGCTGGAATTCAACGAAACTTTATGGGAATGTTGATCAGCATGTGAAGTTGTGCACCTGGGTATTTTCATCTGGATATTTTTAGTATTTTTAGAGTTATTGCCCTTGACTTAGAATTTCGTTTCCGGAGTAGTTCTCTGCAACTAATGGCTGGAATTCAACGAAACTTTATGGGAATGTTGATCAGCATGTGAAGTTGTGCACCTGGGTATTTTCGTCTGGATATTTTTAGCATTTTTAGAGTTATTGCCCTTGACTTAGTAAAATTTTGTAATTTTCAACTTGTGTCGCATGTAACTCAAAAAGTATTTGACCTAGAGTCATGAAACTTTACAGGAATGTTGATCAGTATGTGTAGTTGTGCACCTGGGTATTTTCGTCTGGATATATTTAGTATTTTTAGAGTTATTGCCCTTGACTTAGTAAAATATTGTCATTTTCAACTTGTGTCGCATGTAACTCAAAAAGTATTTGACCTAGAGTCATGAAACTTTACAGGAATGTTGATCAGTATGTGTAGTTGTGCACCTGGGTATTTTCGTCTGGATATTTTTAGTAATTTTAGAGTTATTGCCCTTGACTTAGTAAAATTTGCAATTTTCAACTTGTGTCGCATGTAACTCAAAAAGTATTTGACCTAGAGTCATGATACTTTACAGGAATGTTGATCAGCATGTGTAGTTGTGCACCTGGATATTTTCTTCTGGATTTATTTATTATTTTTAGAGTTATTGCCCTTGACTTAGAAAATGTTTGCAATTTTCAACATGTGTCGCATGTAACTCAAAAAGGATTTGACATAGAGTCATTAAACCTTATTGGAAAGTTGCTCAGCATATTTAGTTTGTTCCTGGGGTTTCGCTTGTGGATTTATCCAGTATTTGTAGAGTTATTTCCCTTGACTTAGTAAAAACTGTTTCATTATGTTGTTATTTGATCCTTGAGTGCTTGAGTTAGAATCGACCAACTTAACAGGAATAATGATCAACATCACTAAATTACAGGAATAATGATTCACCTCACTGTGAAGCTATGAACCTGGGACTTTGCATGTGGATTTTTTTCAGTTTTGTTAGAGTTATTGCCCTTGAATTACAGTAGTATAAATTTGCAATTTTCAACTTGGGGTTTGCTTGGGGATTTATTCAGTATTTGTAAAGTTCTTGCCCTTTACTTAGTAAAAAGATTTTTAGTTTTCAAAAAATATTTTACCTAGAGTCATAAGATTGACAGAACAGTGGCGCGGTGGGGGCACCCGTGTCCTATGGACACATTTCTAGTTTTTATTAAAGAAGAATTAAAATGATTTGTTACAATAACATTTAAAAATATTTGAAAATTGTGAGATCCCTTTTTTGATGCCCTGAAAATGGCAATGAAGTCTGGAGATTAAGATGTTTTTACATCTAGGTGAGCTATTGTGATCCCCCACCGTCCTTCGTCTTGCGTCGTCAGCAACTTCTTTAAACAACAATCTCCTCAGAAACAAATGACTGCACAGCAACCAAACTTTACAGGAATGATCCTAGGGTGGCCCCCTGCCAAAGTTGATCAAATGGTTCCGGTCTGTTACATAAGTAGGTCACAGGGCCAGAAAAGGAGTTTCAAAAATGCAAAATTGAAAAATCTTGTCTGAAAGTACAAGGCCTAGAGCTTTGATATTTGGTATATGATATAACCTATAGGTCCTCTACCAAAATTGTTCAAATTTTAGCCCTGGGGTCAAAATTGGCCCCACTCCAGGGGGTCATAGATTTTCCTTATATGTATAATTATAGTGAAAACTTAAAAATTCTTCTTGTTTGAAGGTACAAGGCTTCAAGTTCAAAGAATATTACAGTTTATGCCATGATTAATATATAAATAAAGCCTTATGTCTTCAGTTGTTGTGTTTATAATAACCAGTACTCGGCGGGGGATATAAATTCAACGAATTTGCTTGTTTATTACGATTTACTTATTGATTTCTAACGATAGGAAATCTTGATACTTAATTAATTTCATACTAACTTCCTCAAATATATATTTTTATTTCATGTATAGCAACACGCGTACCTGTTTTTTAAATCATTAAAATATAGTAATAAAAGAACCAACAATCCTAAGACTTCCTGATATTTATTAGTATTTCAATTTACAGAAATTAACAAGTGCAATGAGAATAATGACAATATTTGCTTAGAAAATGTGAATTACAAAACGACTGATAGATATAAAAAATAACTTTTGCAATTTCTATTGCAATTACTGTTATATATGATATTATGTGTACATATAAACATAATATATATACTTTCTGTTTAAATGTAGTGCGTGTGTTTCTATTTCTTATATCAAATACTTGACTTGATGAATGATCGTGTATAACAAATAACGGCTATCTATTAGATTATATATAATACTCAAACTTGTAAACAAAACCTTTTTTTCTATATCTACGTCTTTATGCACATTACTTTTTCGATGTTAACGACAAGTACATTATAGAATAAGGGGTCGAAATGGCCAGTCAATTTAAGGGGCCTAAGTGTCTTAGGGGTAAGTGTCATGGGTCGAGATGTCTTAAGGGTCGAGGTGACAAGGGGTCGATATGTTATAGACTCAGAAAGCATGGTTCTGCACAATGTGGCATTTTATAAGAGAAATAGAGCATTTTAGCGAGAAATATATGAAGCGTTGTTTGGCAAGGGGAAACAACCTGTTTTCGACTCAGGCGTATCACTCCATCTACATGAAAAATCTGACATTTAACAAGACCAGTGCGATCATACGGAGCCCCTAAGGTGACATTTTCCACACTTTTTTCCCCGGAATTTAATTCGTTTTTACGAAATAATAATTCGTAATTACGAAATAGTAATTCGTTTTTACGAAATATTAATTCGTTAATACGAAATATTAATTCGTTTTTACGAAATATTAATTCGTTTTTACGAAATATTAATTCGTAATTACGAAATATTATTTCGTTTTTACGAAATATTAATTCGTTTTTACGAAATATTAATTCGTTTTTACGAAATATTAATTCGTAATTACGAAATATTATTTCGTAATTACGAAATATTAATTCGTTATTACGAAATATTAATTCGTTTTTACGAAATATTATTTCGTAATTACGAAATATTATTTCGTAATTACGAAATATTAATTCGTAAAAACGAAATGTTATTTCGTAATTACGAAATAATAATTCGTAAATACGAAATAATATTTCGTAAAAACGAATTAAATTTTTCTAGCGTTTCAAAGAGTTTTGGTAATATTTATAAATAAGGCCTCAAAACTAAGTTCCTGACTTAATATAAGGCATGTACATGCAATATAAATAGTGATTTTTGTTCTCCCCAAGTTTTTTAACTTTACACTATTGTACATAAATTAAAATATTCGCATGTCAATAGCGTTGAGCCACAGTCGTGATAGACACGCGCTAGGAAAATTTACTTAAAATTGGGGTCCTGTGCTTCAAATCCAAACACGGACATTACTAATACTAAATTGTGAGGAAATATTCATTTTAAATTGATTAGATTAGTGAAATCTGGACCAACCCCCTCCTCGTCCCATTAGTTTAACTTATGTATATGATAAAAGAAAAAAAACGGAATAATATAGCATGTTTCTGTTTTAAAGATACATGTCGTAAAAGATTGCCTCAAACATTAAAACATTGCTGATAGGAACATGTATTTGACAATGGGGAAAAAAGACCATTTTGGATAGAGAATGACTTCTCACTCAAAAACCCTGTTCACTTAAATATAATAACTTGAGAACCATTCGGCTTATAATCGCAAAGTTGATCAAGGCATGTAAATGACCCATTTGTGAGATTAATAGGTTCATTATCAAGCTCAAAATGACCTTAATAAGATTTCGTAAAAACGAATTAATATTTCGTAATTACGAAATAACATTTCGTTTTTACGAATTAATATTTCGTAATAACGAAATAATATTTCGTAATTACGAAATAACATTTCGTAAAAACGAATTAATATTTCGTAAATACGAATTAATATTTCGTAAAAACGAATTGATATTTCGTAATTACGAAATAACATTTCGTTTTTACGAATTAATATTTCGTAATTACGAAATAATATTTCGTAAAAACGAATTAATATTTCGTAAAAACGAATTGATATTTCGTAATTACGAATTAATATTTCGTAAAAACGAATTAAATGCCGGGGTAAAAGTGTCGAGAATGTCACCTTAGGGGCTCCGTACGATCAATGTTATATTTATATGATTAATGTACAGCATAGTTATATGCAATATTTTTATTTTGTAACTTTCAATTGGGATTTATTTCCTGTGGATTGGGAAAATACTATACTATTTCTAATGGGAAATATGATTGAATATCGGCTATAAAATAAGCAAAAAAATCCCTTTCATTAACATATAATTATACAAAAAAACATTTTTGTTACAAGGCCACTTAGAAACTGTTTCTGGTATTGACTTCTATTTTCTGTGTAAGGAAGAGACAGTTGAAACAAATTTCTGCATAAACATGGTAGATAGGCTTAATTTATTTACCATTCGAATATGCTTAATATTACTTTGTTTCACAGAGTATGCGGCGTGGATTATCCGAAAGACAAGGTCATTCTTCATGTGTTTCCTCGGACCAAAACTATTCCGAATATGGGCCACTTTGTGATGAAGTTAGAAACGGTATTAGTATTTGCGGATACATAAAATACCGTTCCAGGTAAAAGACAAACAATTACTTCATTTCGTTGATATATCCATTTGAGGTTAAAATTGTGGGTAATGGGGCACCGCAAAGATCGTATGGCTACTTTCTAGGCAGATGCGTGGTCACCTTGTATATCCAGTAATAGTGCCGTCACCCCGGATAGGCGACCTTACCGCGCTACTGCGGCGATGAAAAATGGATCCAGAGTGTGTTAAGGTCGCCATTAGCGAAGTATTACCGTGGTGGAAACGCCAGGCATCGTGCTGTGGTTGCCATGGTCGCCAATGATCGCCGAGTCAAGGCATTTGTTTTAGACGCCTGAAGTCGCGGCGGGCGCGCCCTGGGAACGCAGTATGATCGCATTGATCGCGATAAGAGCGCGACTGTTTTAGAATTTGATTTATTTGGGGTCTTTTTCTCGCGTTTTGGTCACGTTTGCCGGCGAACTTGTACATTTTATGTGGTCACCGTAAGGTCGTACATTGCCACAGTCCAGTGTGACGGCACTATAATGCAGAAATGTGAAATTAACAAAAAGTACCGCCGAATCTGTGCAAAGTCATGGCCAAAACGAGTAACAGGGTAAATAAACGGACCAAAATATTTTATCATAAATCAAATTAACAGAAATAAATTAACTCATACGCCTGCTATGATGTACCAGCATTAACAATTATTTCTAGGAATATGTTAACATTTTACAATTTGCAAAATTCCTGCGTTACTTCTGCACAATTCCTGCCTTATTTGAGGATTCCTGCGTTACAACCACGTTGGATATCTTAACCACGTTGGATATCTTCACCACGTTGGATATCTTCACCACGTTGGATATCTTCACCACGTTGGATATCTTCACCACGTTGGATATCTTAACCACGTTGGATATCTTAACCACGTTGGATATCTTAACCACGTTGGATATCTTCACCACGTTGGATATCTTAACCACGTTGGATATCTTTACCACGTTGGATATCTTAACCACGTTGGATATCTTCACCAAGTTGGATATCTTCACCACGTTGGATATCTTAACCAGGTTGGATATCTTAACCCTGTTGGATATGTTGGTTAATGTAGAATCTGGTATATAGTTATTTGAACCCACGGGATAATGAGCAACCATTAATTGTCTCTCATCCAGGAGATATCTGAATTACTATCACACTAAGTAATTATATATATATATGAATGAAAGAAAGTCATGAGAGGGAAATTATACATTAAACAATCGCACGAAAATTCGGCACGCCGCAGCCGGGACTCTTACCCACGCGTCTCTGGATTGCTGGTCTTTATATGATCAGTAAAGTAATTGTGTACATCGGCTATAACTGTGTTGTATATACATTTGATGGAAAATCAACCAAAACAAACCAATGTAATTAACGTTTTAATATCGACAATCATTTCCAAACGAAATATAAACGTGTAACTGTCAGTAATAGAAGGGGAAATTGATAAATACCAGGGAGTGTTAAGAATATTGTATATGAATTGAGTTTTATTACCCGTAGTTGTGATGATAACTTAATATTAAAAGTTGAGGTCAATCGTACGGTTGCACAAAGGTGACATGGGTGTTTTTTTTTCGACCGCAGGCCGTATGTTTTGGGTTGAACTTCCTGTAAAATTTACAGGGAAGAGCTTAATATTTGTAAAAATTTCATTGGTCATTAAAGATTTACAATCTGAAATCTCGGAATCTGATTGGCCATTGTAAAATTGTTAAAGTAACATAAAGGACTTTTCTGACATGGTAAACGCGTCTACTTTCAAATTGATCTAAAGGATTTCTGGAAACAAACGACAAGGTATCATACAATTATAAGCTCTTTTACTATCAAGCTAAATTTAACATACTTAAGTTTTGTTTAACAATGTCTTCTTCTTCAATTTTACCATGCATCTTAGTACAGATTAGTTTTCGCTGCTTTAATGAGTTACAAAAATGAACGAAACCACCACTTAATATGCAAACAGAACGTTTCGTCCCCAATCCAAATCGGTCCAAGTGCAAAAAACGTTTTAGTTCGGCCGAGTATCTTTTTTTAAAGATACTTCTTGATTTATCTCGTGAAACGAGATACTATGTCGTGGCCACCAAATACTAAGTCGTGCGTACGAGATGATTAACTGGTATGCACGAGATACTATGCCGTGGTCACGCGTTACCAAGCCGTGCGTACGAGATAATTAAGTGGTGCGAACTAGATACTATGCCTTGGTCACGCGTTATTAAGTCTTGGGCACCAGATAATTAAGTGGTGCACACGGGATACTATGTCGTGGCCACCAAATACTAAGTCGTGCGTACGAGATAATTTAGTGGTATGCACGAGATACTATGCCGTGGTCACGCGTTACCAAGCCGTGCGTACGAGATGATTAAGTGGTGCGGACTAGATACTATGCTTTGGTCACGCGTAATTAAGTCTTGGGCACCAGATAATTAAGTGGTGCACACGGGATACTATGTCGTGGCCACCAAATACTAAGTCGTGCGCACGAGATAATTAAGTGAAGCGCACGAGATACTATGGTAAACATGTTAATACTATTAAGTATCTGATGAGGCACCAAACCATGAAAGAATTGTATGTATGGTTGTTGTTGGCAAGTGTGAGATACATGTACATGATCCGATATTACATGTATTTATATAGCAGATAATAAAACGTTCTTGAACAAAATAATATTTATCATTTGACTGTTCATACTAAATTACATAGAACATTATCAACATTTTTTTTTCATTAAGAATATCCAAATGATCTATATATCTATTATTTTTATCAATATTTGAGCCGTGCAATGACAAAACCAACATAATGCTTTTGCAACCAGCATGGATCCAGACCAGCCTGCGCATCCGCGCAGTCTGATCAGGATCCATACTGTTCGCTGTCAGTTTCTCTACTTGACATATATTTCAGCTTGATTTTAACTACAAAGGCGGACCGAAGAATAAAACGCCATGGATAGAATATAATGGTATTACAATGGGAGACTCTCAGTTAATAATTGAGACTTTAACAAGAAATTCAACTTTGATATGAACAGTCATCTTAGCAAACAAGAACGCGCAGTTGCCTGGGCGATACAGAAATGGTTGGAAGAATACACGTACTGGTTCATGGAAGCTTTCTTAATCAATATCCTGTATTTATCACACATCCGTCCGTAAATATGGTATTTCACGGGGCTGTGACTAAAAAAAGGATTGGAGCACCACACTAAATACCGTATTCCGGTATATACCGGACAAGGCGCTTGAATGATAAAATGCTAAAATCTTGTCTTTTTACCCAACGGAATGAACTTTAACAGGTCTAATTCATCTTTTCACATCGAATCAAGTACGATAAACAAGGAAAACTGTAAAATTCGGCGAAAAAAACGATATTTGTCTATTTTGTGATCATGATTTCTGCAAGCGTCTAGAGGTACTGCTCCAATCCTGTATTGAGCTAAATCCATTTCACGGCTGTGCATATATTTTGACGTGACGTCATTGGCGTTATACAAACTTTGTGTAAAGACGCGCTAAATGTTTGCGTTATACTATAGGCGCGTCAATGAAAAATGATTCTTATTTCACTTTAAACGGTCTTTATTTTGAGTTTGTGATAAATAGAATATTTAATTCGCGTAAGTTCATTTCTGAACTTATTGCACTCGTTGCACTCGCAAAATATAATTTTATTCAACTCGTGCAATGAATTCAGTATTGAACTTACACTCATTCAATATCCTCTATTTTATAAATGTTGCTATGTAAAAAAAATACTTTTAACATGTTTTACTTAAAATATGCAAAACGACCCATTAGGAATACCGTGATAAAAAGGATATTATATATGTATTAGACAGTGCGATGTTAGTATTAAAATTGAAAACCAGTGAAAGGCTTGTGAATATCTACTTAATTCTTAAACGCCTATAATATTGTGTTCACTTTGCGTCCAGCCTTATTTACTTCCTTATTTTTTTCAGGCTAAATGTCTACAGCCGCTGGGTAATTTTTGGCGATGAAATGTTACGGAAATTCCTAAAAGTGCCAGGTCCAGTGGCAGCTTTGCTCAAAATTACTATGCGGCCTGGAATAATTAAAACATCTTACACTGTAGGAATTGGTCGCCATAGTGACGAGGAAGTACATCAGTTGATGCGAAATGATCTAAAAAAGTTCTCAGATTTGTTAGGTGAGATATGAACTTTAAAGCGGCCTTCATCTTTTATTTTTAGTTGGAAAAACAATACTATGTTGTTTCAATCTAAGTATTTTAGTAAATGTAGTAAATGTATCACGGAAAAGTGCATCATATCACCTTTTAGCCATCTTCAACACAGCGTCCTGTGAGCTATTTATAACGCGGTAGTGACGTTCGTTTCTAAAAATAGAAAAAGGGAAACAAATCGTCTGCTTTACTAGTTTAAATATAGAGAGCGGACCGGTAGTTTAGAGGTATCGAGGGGTTTCCTTATTGTTTACGTATTTTAAAGACAGCAAAGTTCATTTTCCACAATAATTATTTTGATTTATCTATAAAAACATATTTAACTACCAGTATTAGAAAAGCTCAAGGCTGCTTTAATCTAGTGGTGGAAAGCCTGATCCATGCAACACGCATGCGCACTTTGCACAGTTGACAAAAGCATGTTTAGTGTGAGCACTTTTCACACTTGTAGAGTCATGTTGTTCAGCATCATTTAATCATATTTTGTCAATGTTCTTAACGGCTTACATCTGTAAATATAACATTTCTTTGGGTTTAAAAATTACATGTACCTCATTTCCGTATACAGTTTAATGATTGTATTTCACATTTATTGTTGGTTAACCAGACCGTGTTAACAAGCATATTCCTATCTCTTAAAAATGCTCATTTAACTTGAATTTCAAGGGCATTTATGTATGGTGTTTAAGTAAGACAATATTGTTATCTCACAGGCGATAAGAAGTACATCATGGGCGATAAGATAACGGAAACAGATTGTGCAGCCTTTGGTATTTTGTCTCAGATACGCTGGTGTACTCCGGAGTCTTGTCCTGGACGTCAACTCCTGACAAGTTTGTATATTTTAAGCTGATAGTAAAAAAGTTTAGAATTTGTTTAGTAAATTCAGCTATGTGCTACATTTCATTCAAAATCATACTCTGAAAAATGTGAAATTAAAACGGTTTACATGCACCTTGTTCAGTACAAAACAAAATATAATGTAGGCCAATTTGATAGTTAAATATATATAATGACTTCTTCAAATTTTTTTTTTTTTTTTGTTAAAAATTGCAAAGTGTCATGTTTTTTTTGTTTTTATGCCACGGCAGTCAGCGATACGGTGGCATATAGCGTTTCATCAGTGTGTGTGTGCGTGTGTGTGTGTGTGTGTGTGCGTGTGTACCTCTAGTTTCTCCGATCTCAACCAAACTTGCCAAGATTGTTCCTTTGGTGAAATTGTTCAAAGAATTCTATTCCATGTAGAAATGAATTAAGTGTATTAATGCGTTGGCATAGCATTTTTACACAACGGCAATCTTGTTTCTTAATTATTGTCATTATTTTGGATTGGCTATTTAGAGTTACAATCAGAGAAAATTGTGTAATATCTTGCAAATTTTTAACAATTTACTTACAGAACGGTATCACTTTTTCCAGGATTACATGAATGACATTTTAAGATTAAAACTGGTATAATTATCATCAACTGGATCATTATTATATAAATTACCTGTACTATGACTGTAATACATATCCTGACTAAAGATATGAGCCGCACCTTGACAAAATCAACATAATGCGTTTGACCAGCCTGCGCAGTCTGATCAGGATCAATTATAATGCTGTTCGCTTACAAACCCTATTATAAGTAGAGAAACTGAAAGCAAACAGCATGGATCCTTACCAGCGCAGGCTGGCATGGATCAATGCTGGTCGCAAACGCATTATGTTGGTTTTGTAATGGCGCGGCTCATATGTTCTTTTTATGTTTATATTTTAATAAAACATTGTATTAAAGGTGTTTAAATATTTTTACTTAAATTTTTTAAACTTAAATCAAATACATCTTCAAAAACTAAATAATATATATAATTGTTTTTAATGCTAGTTTGATACATATTATTATGTTTCTAAGCCGGTATTAGTATATTCTATGTACAAGCTTTATGTTTCATATTTTTAACACAATCGAGTACCTTTTCTTTCATTAAAAAAAGACACTAAAATATTTGATATGAAGGATCTTATACAGTTGCCATATAAAACTGTATCAAACAAGTTCAAGAATTTTTTAAAAAGTAGGCCTCTGTCAAGCCTTTCTTGGACGAGTTTAATACAATTTTGCAACACAATTACATGAAATGAAACCAAACTTGAAATTCTTTTTTATCACATGACTATAAAATTTACTTGTTTTGACAGGTATTATGTAACACCTGTGTAATCGAAAAATTAACTAATAGTTTTACTACATATACATGGAAAACAAGCGATTTTATGCGATATGTTTATTTAAAAATATTCTAATCACAAAATATAAATTTAGCAATATATCACATATATAGATTCAAATGGACGGACTGTACTACCTGCTAAAAACATTAAAATAACTAGAATTAAACATTAAATACACATCTTAAATAGAATAAAATTTACATACATGAAACATAAAATTTAGAGTAAACGCGCGTTTACTTGGACTGATAAGATTCTACATTTGGGTAAACATATACTTGAACCAATAAAATTCTACATTATGTAAACGTACCCTCATGTAGAATTTTATCAGTTCAAGTAAATGCAATACATATATTGATTTGAAAAAAATATTTTCAAAATTCTGAAAAAGAAAAAATCATACCTTACTTATGTTAATGAAGAATATTTTAAGATTTGTAATTTACCTTCCAAACAATAGCTTTATTTACCACAGCTTAAACTTTTTATAATATGACGTAAGACTTTATTAACCAATTACTTGCGATAAATAATTGTACCCATGTGACAAGTGCACACCAAGATCAGCTGACTTTTCTTCTGTGTTGTTCTGCATTGTTAATCAGTCGATATTTATTTTGAAATTTAATCAAAAATGTCCAAATTGAATAATGTATATGTCAATTTAAGATATTTAGCAATGTAAGAGTTAAACTGCCAATGAAAGCACTACAAATTCACCTCTATCAAAACACCTATACATTTATCAATACAAGAAATTCAAACACTTCAAGGCACAATATGCCTCAGACAAGAATAATTTTTTCCTTCTTAAGGAAGGGCATACATCAGTTTTATAATATTTAAATCATTATTTAATGTAATGTGAAAATTTGAAACACTATAATAGGTTTCCCAAATGTTTTAAGAAGGCATATTTAACTTTCCAAATATGAAATGTTATTTAGTAGTAATTATGCCTGTTTATCTATAACATCTTGTGCATTGAATTTTTGTATAACTTACTGATTTTCTGAAGTCTAGCAAATCCAACGAGAAATATGATAAAATAGGTTTTACCCTTTCTAGCTAAAGCTAGGGTCTTTAAAAAAAAAACTTCTAAAATTCTATTTGAATGACCCTGTTGATATCTTACATCATAGCACATTTTTACTGTATACTATGAAATATGAGTTGAATAATACTTAATAACCTTTAACATAATTTGCATACATTGTATTGACCTTTTTGAGCGAAGTGAGCAGAAAAATATAAATAATTATATCAAATTCTTTCAAAATAATAGTAAAAATAAGGTATTGAGGGTTTGCTTGGATAATGTAGTGAGGGCGCCGGTTGAGCTCTAGATCCGCCCGGCTATTTTATACCTATTCTATTTATAGTCAAATTGGGTTTCTTGTTTAAGGTCACATTACACGTACGTTGCACTGGATTTCAAAGCGAAAGTTCACACTAAGAAAGAACAATATATAACTTTGCAACATTTAATTTTTATGTCTACAGTTGTAAAAATATGCTGATGATTAGTTTACGGATTTAAACATTTCTGAACACATCGTTTAAGGACTGATCGACGGATTTTTTCAAGAAAGTAATAATGATAAAAGGAAATCATAGTTAGAAAAGGTAAAACCTATTTTATCATCGAACGAACGAACGAACGAACAAATTTATTTCACATAAACTTTACAGTTTCTAGTGGCTAGCCACTACATTTTACAAATTAACATATAGGTGTACATAGAACATACAATTTTGACAAATATCAATTATGTATACTAAAAGGATTAGGATATAATAATATAAGAAATTAAATTGATCTAATATTTATGGTGATGGACTATACATGTAACAAAATGTACATGTTTGTTTTATATCATGTCATATATCATCATAAGTAATAAGAAACATCATGGTATCAATTCGTTTCGCTAAAATCTATAATAACATGTTTTGCGTTATAAATTATTTAATTTTAAATCAGCATATTAATAATACATTTTTTTCGCTTGCTTTATGTTTTTCATGCCATTTAATATTCTACTAACAATTCGTTTGATGTAAAAAGATACCATATGTTTCTATTTGTTTCATATGCAAAATACAATGCCATATAAAAGTATATAATTAAAACACTGAGCACTCGTTGGATTACTATCATATAATATGCATTTTTCGTGGTAACATTAACTTTACTTTTTTCTTCAATGAATGTAGCATTTTTGAAAATTCGCTCGATATAAGCGATTGCTTCACTTTCTGTTGATGTTTTTTTTTTTTATTTTAAAATACTCATTCTAATCCATCGTTTGCTCACTTTCTTATACACATAGTTTTGATATATACAATCTTCTTTGTTTTAAATTATATATTTCTGAAAAATGCATTTAGGATGTGCTTTATACAATCTATAAAGTTTTACATCTTTGTCATTAACAAGCATCATATTTACAAATGATATATTACAAACAATTAAATGTAAATCAGTTGTTGGATCGTAATAATCTACTCGTACGTATTTCTAGTGATTCATGTATAAATTTTGCTAACATGACAATAATTGACTTGTTTTTAGATGACAACAATTGTGTAAATTTAAACATACTTGGCTTTGTTCTAAAATAATTCTTGATATACTTTAGTCTAATAGAATGATATGCCGGGCAATTAAAAACAAAATGGAACTCGTCTTCTATTTCATTACCATTACATATTTGACATACTCTAAGATTTCTCTCTAATCTATCTCTCCCATATCTGCCGGTCTGGATTCTTAGACTATGTGCGGATATACGCAACTTTGCAAATCCGATCCGTAAGTTACGAGATGCGATATTGTTTAAATATGGTTCCATTTCTAATGTATCTTTTACATATTTATACAAATTTAAAACCTCCATATTGTTGATACTAGTTCGCCATTCTTGTGTAAATTCGTCTATCAAACGTTGCTTAAACATACTAAGAAACGCATAATCAATAGGAAGGTTTACATTTCTAATGCTTATAACTTCATTCCATTTATATAAAAATCCATATTTAGACAATAGAGTTTTTACATTTGTAAACCAATTAGATTTACCATTTAAACAATCAATTAAGTCCGACTCAACTATAGCCTTTATAATAACATTTTCACTATGGCATAATTTGAGCCAGTATATTACTATACTAACATATCTATTTATGTACAAGGGATATCTCCCTAACTCGACGACTGTCTCACTCCCAATAATATCTTACAAAATTTAATATGTAAAGTTTCTAATTGTTTTGATTTCACAAAACCCCATATTTCACATCCATAGTTTATTGTAGACTTAACAAACGAATCAAATAGTTGTAAGGCTACTTTCGGCAACGTATCGTGTTTCTTTAAATTTGCTATGAGTGAACTCATTGCTTTAAGACCTTTACCATACAAATTTTGGGTATTTAATGAAAAATTTCCTGTATAGTTAAAAGTAACACCTAAATAGTTAAAATCATTAACATTTTCAAGAATACATGCATTTTCACCGTAGAACCACTTTTCCCTATTTTTCAAGCCTCCCCGCTTTCTTAATACCATACATTTTGATTTATCTACATTTACCTGTAGTCCCCAAGTATAACAATACTCATATAATTTATTTAGTGACGATTGCAACTCAGACGGA